TATAAATTATATAATTACAATCGTCTCATCAACACCTTTAAAATGAATCAATATTGAATATTTAAATTTTATCATATTATTAAATATCATAAATTTATAGTAAGTTATTTTTAAAACTTATACTTAATTTATTTTACATTTCTTAATTTACACCCTTATTTATCTATACTAGAAGGGTACTCGCGTAATGCAGCGAGATACATCTCGATTTTAATGTTTTATTTATTCTTTGTCTCTGTCGATGTTATAATACAATTTTATGTGTTTTTAAGAAAACAATAATTATTTTATTTTTGAATAAAATATAAATTTGAAGATATTAAAAAAATTTGAAAGAAAAATATCAATTTTAATATCAAATCAACTATTTAAAAGTTCTCATTTTCATGTAATTTCTTTAAAAAAATTATCATGATTTAATTTAAGTTTAATAACGAAACAATTTATTTTTGATTTAATAATATAACATTTTATAAAGATAATAATTAAGTATTCTGTTATAACTCAATGATTATCCTAATATATAGGTCATGATCTCTTTGAGTATTACTACTTCTATTATCATCTCAACAATCCTACCATGAGAATATGTGGAACCCCAGCCCAAAAGAGCCCTTGAAAGGAGAGAACGGAGGGTCCAACATATAAATAGGAGAATTGGTTCAAGTCTAACCGATGTGGATTCTAAAACCCACAATGCAGAAGTTAAACAAAATAACAAAACTTAAGCTATTTGATTCTAACGTGAATCTCCATCATCTTTAAGAAATAGAACCCCCACCCCACTTTCTGCGAGTGGTTGAGATTCTGCAAATCATGTGTGTGTGTGTATTTATGACAAAATAACCATTAATGAGAGGAGTAAAGAGTGTCAAAGTGACAACCTCGAAAGCATAATCTTGAAGAGCAGCCTCTGGTAACACTTCGTTGATCAGGAGGAAATCAGTCCAAATAAAACCTGTAAGTATCATTGCAAAACTTTAGGTTAAATACAGGTTGAGTTCCACTTGAAATACTCATTTAAGTGTCCTACTACCTAAACAGAGACTGAAACACAAAATTTCAAGAAGAAGAAAAATCAGTAGGCATCACAGTTTATCATAATGGAAAAAAAATTCAACCATGCATACCCGACCTGTTAATTGATCAAACAATGAATCGACCAAGAATTAGGTCATGAAATAAAGAGAAACTTACCCGAGAGGATTGAGGTTTTAGCCACTTGTTTGAAGTAATTGACAGACTCGAAATCAGACTGTGTTTGAAGTAATATATATGCATCTCTAAATTCTATTGTAGTATCATCTCAGAAAATTTAGGGATTAAATTGAATCTGTATTCTTGAAAATCGGTTGGCGATGATATCGTTTAGGGAGGGCGATGAAATCGTTTATGGTTTATGAAATCGAACTGGGTTAGGGATGAAATCGAATCCGTATTCTTCAAAATCTGTTGGCGATGAAATCGGATAGGGATGAAATCGTTAGGGAGGGAATTGGGTTTCTGTTGGCAATGAAAATAGAATAGAGATGAAATCGGATAGGGATGAAATCGTTGAGGGATGAACGGGTTTAATTTTTTTTAAGAGTTTTAAGAGTTATAGTCAAATGTTTTATAAGATAGTATAGATTATCTATATTATATTATAAAACATGCTAAACGGTTATTAGTTAATTTTTAAGAGGTATAAATTTTGATCCATTATGTAGAGTTTTTGAATCTTTACAACCTCCACGTCAACATGATAATTAAAAATAAAATTGTTTTTTATTATTAAATTACACTTCATACCTTTATAATTAGTTATTTAATTTACTTTGTATCTCTTCTTTTCCTATTTTTCATTTTACACCTTCTCATATTGACATATGTAACCATATATTAACAAAAATATATTTAAACACGTTTATTTTTTTATAAATTATATCATTATAATCGTCTCTTCAATACCTTTAACATGAATCCAATATCGAATATTATTGAATTTAAATATTATTAAATATGATAAATGCGTGCTGATGTTTTTTAGTATCTTAATTTTTTATTTTCCTTTTTACAACCTTATCTATTTATACTATATTAATTGTGATTGTTGTTGAATTTTAACCATCATCTATGCATCATTTACAAGTTTCTAAAGCCCCCACCCCATGATCCCCTTCCTTTCCGACTTCCCCCATAATTTCTCTCCCCTTTACCTTGAATTACTGTCCACTTTCCATTGTCCATGAAGCGATCGGCTAAAAGGAACACTATATAACTCTCAATTTTGGGATGAAATTAGTCATCCGAATATAAATTTTGAAACCAAAAGAAGGAAAAAGGACATCCATACCCCTCCAACCTTTCTCTTATGCCATGGAAATCACTTCATCCACCATCGTCACTAAATCATAATCATGCTCCACAACAGCGGTCTTGAAAGCCTATCCCCACACCTGGATCCACCACACCATCCTCACGACACACATCTATTCCAATCCACAGTCTCATGCAACCTCCGCCATTTCAATATTTCGATTTTGGTCCTCCATCTTGCCGCTTTTTCTTTTTACTTTCGCTGCTCCATTTTATGCTTACCACCAATACTTCCTCCACATCTGATTCCCCTCGCTAGTACGACTTCGACGTCTTCTGATAAACTACTCTCATTTGCTTTCAACAGATTAATTTAAGAAATTCATCAGAAAACTGACAGCTTGGAATCGTAAGTGTTCACACAGTGGGCACAAAGTCCCCACAGTGGCGGTGCAAGTGCATGCTGACACTATGATCGCTTCAAGTAATAAAGTTGTATAGTACCAATATCGTTTCCACAGTATTAGACTACGGAGAATCAAAGAGTTTCATGAACTTCTTGAGCATGTTTCGGTTTGTGAATAAAAGTTGGATTTTGTTGGTAAAATGCTTAGAATACAAAATAAACCTTTTTAAATTAAGAGATGGGTATGGGTGTAAGTTTACCTTAAGATGACTGTAGGAACAGGATGGTTAGAAAT